TATAGGAAAAGAAACAGATCACAACACATCACAAGTTTGACTATAGACTACTTCTTAATTTCTGAGTCACTCAGAGCATCAGTGCTTCAAGCAAGAGTAGGCAAACACCCATACCATACTGGACTTGACCATATCTTAATCCTCCTAGGACTAGTCTTAGACCCAGGAACGCGTAAAGGCCCAAGTTTCTTCAAAATTAACAATTCTCTGCTCAACGCCCTTGAAATGAAGAAAGCAATCACTCAGGCATGCATACATTCCGAGAGTGAGGAAGCGGACTTTCCTGGTCTGGTAGCCAACCTCTCTAGGGCAGCTTTCGTAACCTCCAGAAAGTTGGCATAAAAAAAGAACCAAAGAATAAAAAAACTAGAAGCAGCAGTGAGCTTGGCAGAAATAAACCTCTTACACAACCCAGGTCAAATGAATTACGAGGAGGTACTGCTCACGGCAAAAGCCGAATTAGCCAATTGGAGCGCCTGGAAAACCAAAGGGCTAAGATTGAGAGCTCAAATCAAAGAATGGGAGGAAGGGGAAAAAATGACCAAGTTCTTCTTTAAGAATATTATAGCCAGGGGCAGGAACTCGGCCATCCAACAACTAAGAGGAAAGGAAGGACTCACTGCGGACCCAATCAGAACGTTGGTCATCGCAGAAACCTTTTTTATCAACCTCTACACATCCAAAATTGGGTCCTCCACACCCAATTCAGTACAATAGGCCAAAGCCAAGTTCACCAAGCATTTAGACAAAACCATATCAACTGGCATAGCCGAAGAATTAGATAAGGCAATAACAAATGAAGAAATTCAAAAGGCTCTAGACTCCATGAAACCGGGGAAAACACCAGGACTGGACGACCTTTCCAAGGAATTCTGGCAGAAATATTGGCCACTCCTAAGAGAAGAGGTGTGCAAATTTGTAACATCAACGTGGGAAAAAGAAGGACCAGGGTCGTACCTAAGTATAGGAATAGTTACACTACTATACAAAAAGGGCGACCCAACGGATATCAAGAACTATAGGCCCATCACTCTACTAACAGTAGTTTATAAAATAATATCCAAAATAACAAAAGGTCACAAGGAGTTGCTTCCACATAGACCAGACAGGATTCATCACTTGTCGGTTCATCCTAGATAATGTAATGACGTTGGCTGAATCGGTTAGACATATCAAAGATAAAAGAATGAACGCAACAATTCTCTTCTTCGATTTTGAAAAAGCATACGATCAGGTGAACTGGGACTTCCAATAACTCTGTATGGAAAACATAGGAGTAGGGCTAAACTTCAGAAAATGGGTAAGAGTCCTCTACAATGACGCGCATGGAGCAGTACAAGTGAATGGTCATATATCCAACAGGTACAAGATGTCTAGGTCAGTGAGACAAGGAGATCCCTTAGCAGCCCCTATATTCCTATTCATTATGGAAGCGATAACTTCCGACCTTAGGAAGAACCCATCCATTCAAAGGCTTAGAAATCAACCAGACAAGCAACTACACAAAATACACATCCCCGCTACTATATTGTTCGCGGACGACCTAACAATCCTAATTTGAGCTTCCAACTCGTCAACTCGTCCTTTGAAACCCTCACTAGAGCAATGCACGTGTTCCAACTAGCCTTTGAAATACAAATCAACTGGCAAAAAACAGTCAACTGGTGGATAACGGGCGAAAACATCCCCCCTCCCCCGTACTCCCCACAGGGTATGTCTTTGACCGACCCCAACGACCCAATGAGAGTCCTCGGGATCCAAATGACAGAACATGGGGCAGCGGTGGAGATGGCCCCCAGCTTACTAGCCAAGCTAACAAACAAACTCTGCGCATGGGGCAGCGTCCATACCTCGCTACACGGCCGAGCATTGATCCTAAACTCCTCAATCTTCTCGATGTTGTGGTACGTAAAGCAGAAAGCAACCTCCTCTATGCCACCAAACAACACTTCATCGAAGTGGTGGCATGGCAATACATCACAAGGAAGAAAGGACAGGGTGGGTTGGGTGTCCTCGACCCTGCAACACAAAAAAACCCTCCAAACGAAATGGATCCTTAAACTCCTAACGAGCCCCAAGCTACCTTGGAAACCCCTAGCAATGGAAGGAATTCAGCAACTCCCGGTGTACACCACACCAGCCAACATGGAGGGTTCCTTTTGGTTGATGAGCAAATCATGGTCCGTGAGAGGCAGAACGCTGGAGGCCACACAAACAAGAAGCGAGCCCAGACTTCACTTTTGGAAGGAAATCCTCAAGTCCTAAGAGGAATCTTCCCAGCCAAAGTGAGGAAGCCACAAAACAAGGAGGAGATCCTTAGACAACCTCTTTTCTGCAATCCATGGATAGCACGGAGGGAGGGGAATCCTTTCACCCTAACAACAAAAGACACTCATTGGGGGTCATGGCTGGAGAAAGGGGTCTGGCAAATCAAACACATCTGGGACGACAACAAAAAGGATTGGAAGAGCGAGAGACAACTCAGAAACAGCCTCAAAGGTTGCCATAACCTAGCCCATAACCGACAAGAGCTCATTGCGGCAATCCCACAATATTGGCTTCCAGTACTTAGAAAGGAAAGGGAGTGGTCAACAGGTGATTGGGCAGTGATGACCCACATTGGCTTTCACGAGCACGCGCTAGCTTACCGGGGAGGAGAAGAAGCTAATGAAGACTGGTTCACCTTCACTATGCACAAAAGAGAGGAACCATACTTATACTACAGTAAAGTCAGTATGAACTCAGAAGCGCAAGTCTTGGTCAGAAGGAGCAACCTCAGAAAAAGTAATAGTAGTAGAAAACACAGACCTAACAATATACCACCCCGAACAGAGTTAGAAAACCTTGAAGTCGACCCAGCTGAATGGGCTTGGAATCTAAAACAACAGAATACAGAAATAACCCTCAAATTTAACCTCCTTTAAACTCCCCCACCAGTGTTAGTGGTGCTGATAAGAGCAGGCACCACTAACACTTGGGGAGAGGCTCCATCTATTGGTGGGGAGCATCACCTGCTGGAAAGCGGGTCCAGCGTCCCATTTACAGACTGAAATTTAACCTCCTTAATTATTCAACAAGAATAGGTTACAAACCTGGGCTGATTTCCCGGACGCCCGGGGACCCAGACCACGCCCGGAATGGCGCCCGGGTGCCCAGCCGGCCATGAGTCCCGGGCGGGCCCCCGGGCGCTCTCCGCGGCATAAAAAAAAAAAATCGAAAAAAGGTGCTCGGGGGGGCCTGGGGCACAGCGGGGGATGGGAGGGCCCTCCTAAGCGCGGAAAACAAATCGCGCCGAGGCCCTACCAGCCCCAAGACAAAAAAGAAAGAAGGGCGATTTCAAGCCCTTGATCTGCAAGATCGAGGGCTTGAAATCGCCCTTCTCGGTTCCCGTTAGTAAAGGGTCGCCGCGCGGATTTCGTTTTGAATCCGAACGCGAAATCGCGCGGCGGTTTTTGACTCCTGCCCGTCGACACTGCCGAAGGTGCCCGTCCGCTGCTGCCCGTTGCGTGCTGCCCGTCGACTGCTGCCCGTCGCCATCGCCCGTCGGCTGCTCCCTATCACCCTCGCCCGTAGACTGCTGCCCGTCGCCTGCTGCCCGTTGCCATCGCCAGGTAAGCCGGTCGGCATCGCCCTGTTGAGAGTACTCCTCCACCTCCTCCTCCTCCTCTTCCTCCTTCTTCTTCTTCTTCTTCTTCTTCTTCTTCTTCTTCTTCTTCCTCCTTCTTCTTCCTTCTTCTTCCTTCTTCTTCTTCTTCTTCTTCTTCGTGGGGCTCCCCCCCCCTCCGACGAAGTAAAAGGTCGCCCCATTGTGACACACAGAGAAGGCCGCGACACGGCAAAACACACACACACACACACACACACACACACACACACACACACACACACACACACACACACACAGTCTCCTCCTCCTCCGCTTCTTCTTCTTCTTC